AGGGCCAGCATGGCATGTGGTACTGGGATCAAAACTGGGTCCTTGTGCTTGCCAGGAAGGCACTTAGACCACTGTGCAGTCTCCCCAGTTCACATTTATTTCTTATTAGCTTCATTTTTTATCTCTCTCTTTTTTTTTCCTAAGGGACTGGAATTGAAATCCTGGGCCTAGCATGTAAGCATATGCCCTTACCACCATATTACATCCCCAACCCTATTAGCTTTCTTATTAATTCTTTGAGATTTTAAAAATTTATTAGTTATAGACAGAACCTATGGCTGTCACACTGAGCTATATACTGATCCCTTTATTTCCTTTTTTTTTTTTTTTTTTTTTTTTTCAATTTTGAGACAATCTTGCTAAGTTGCTGAATTGCCCACACTCGACTCAAATTTGTGATGCTTGTCCCTCAGCCTCCCAAGTGCTGGGATTACAAATGTCTGCCACAACACCTGGCTTAGGGTTTATTTATTTATTTGTTTGTTTGTTTGTTTATTGGTGGAACTGAGGATTGAATTCAGGCCCTTGCGCTTACCAGGGAAGTGCTTATTCTACTGAGGCTTCTCCTCGGCCTCTGGATTTTTTTATTTTGTTGTGTGTATGTGTTTTTTTTAATGTATTTGGTTGTTACAGGGTCTCACTATGCAGCTCAGACTCAGTGATCCTCCTGTTTTCAGCCTCCCCAGTGCTGGGATTATAGGCATATGCCACTTTGGACTCTGTAGCCCACTCTGCCTGCCCGGGGGGCGGGGCTGGCAGAGCAATGTGGTACCAGGGATCTAACCGCAGTGCCTGTGCTTGCCTATGTGGGCACATTAGTCTGCTGAGCTGTCTCACCAGCTCCCTTAGGGTTTCTTTTTTAGGATTTTTTTATATATAAAAATCATACAGGGACTAGGGAGATGGCTCAGTGGAATAAGCGCTTCCCTGGCAAACACAAGGGCCTGAGTTCAATCCCCGGTTCCACCAAAAAAAAAAAAAAAAAAAAATCATACTATCTGTGCCCAGAGATAGTTTTATTCTTCCTTTCCACTTTGGTGTATACTTGACTATTTTGCATAATGTAAATTGTAATACTTCAATTTTAATAGTTATTTTCTTTTTTGTTTGTTTGTTTTTTGGTCCTGGGGATCAAACTCAGGACCTTGTGCTTGCCAAACAGGCACTTATGCCACTGAGCTATCTCTCTAGCCCCAATAGTTATTTTCTTATTCTCTGTATGTATATGTGTATGTTTTTGTGTATGTGTCCTACTGGAGATTAAGCCCAGGCCTTTTGCACTGAACCATATTCTCAGCTCTTTTTATTTTCAAAATCACTTTTCTTAAAGTGATTTTGAAAACTATTTAAGTTTCTAATTGATAGATATATATTGAAAGGATGATCATTAATTTGAGGTTTTTTTCCCACAGATTTGGCTAGCTGAATGGCTGCTGAAAAATAACCCCAACAAGCCTAAACTTTATCATCATCAAATTGCAGAAGAGTTCCAGTCTCTGCCAAAGAATAGTTTATGAACTGTCTTTTTGCAAAAGTGTGCATGAGGCCCTGGATTTGATCCCCATCACCAGAAAGAATGAGGGGAGATGAAAAGAGAATAAAAGAAATTTAATTCTTAAGAGGTTTTTTGTTTTTTTTTTCTCGGAACCAGGGACTGAACTCAGGCCCTTGCGCTTGCCAGGGAAGCGCTTATTCCACTGAGCCATCCCCCTGCCCCTCTTAAGAGTTTAAGTAACAATATATAGAGTAATTTCTTTTTTTTTTTTAATTTTATTT